TAGTGGAACTGACCCTAGCCAAATGCAAAACTAGTGAAAAAACAGTCAGACAAGGTGAAGATTATTGTTTTGGGGGTTGTCTCCTTGTTGCCCCTCTAGTGCACCTGTTGTTAATTTCAGTAACAACAGAGAAGCTGAAACTGAATAAAACCCGCCGCTGCTACTTTACTGACCGACTTCCAGCAGGTGTTATTAATCGTTGTTAGGGTTTTAATTGTGCGTTGGGAGTGTGGCTGTGTGTTTGTGGGGTGACAGATTTCTAAAGCACCACAGCTGTACTTCAGGAAGTCACATCTGTGCATTTTTCCTTTATTTTCAAAGATATGATTGTGGACATCTGCTGAACATATGAGAGTGTGAATTCCTTGTTTTTCCTCCTGTTTTCAGGTCATCTGCCAGTTCTGGGTATTGTAGCTGTGGGTTCTGGCTTAGCTCTCATCATTTTTGGGATCTCCAGTTTCCTCATTTACAGGTGAGTTTGATCGCATCAAGCTGACGCTTCCTCTCTGTGGTGCTTTTAGCTCAAACAGCAGAAATGTGGACAAAAAGAAAAAAAAAGATTGAGAGAAAGAGCAAGAGGCATGCTCGTGTTTGAAGCAGGATTTATGGATTGTGCTGCTTTAGGTGGTAGTTTGGTATTTACGCACTGTTGCTACAGCAACTGCTCAGCAGGTGACGGCATTAAAGCGGTGGTGAAGTGTGTTTAAGCTGCCAAGTGAGCTCATATACTGGCTCGAAACAACGCTTACTGCCACTCTCACTTAATGATCATTAGTGTGTTTGTTAAGTTTATTTTCTTTGCGCTGAAGTCAGGAAAAATGCCGCTTATTTTAATAATTCACACACTGGTGATGTCAAGTGGAAAACATCACTTGAGCTGATTATTGTGCCTCTCTCAAAGGATTACAAGTGGATTATAAAAGCCCTGCAAAATAATATTCAAAAGAAGCAAAAATAAGCCAGAATTCTTTTATGTACAGCACCACGAAAGCCTAAATTAATATTTCATGTTGTTTACAATATAAATAAATAAAATTGGCAGGACTGACACTGAGAAATGTTTTATGTTTTTTCAATCCCCTCAGGGACCTCGATATTAAAAACTACTGCCTTTAAACAGTACTTCCAAGGTGTACAAGGACAGATTGGCACAATTATTAGAATTATTTAAAGAACTGAATTAACCTGAACAAGTTTGAGAATAAAATCAACAGCTGACTGAAAGAAACAGACGAGCAGAACAGAAGCCAAAAGAAATACATAAATAAAGAAAACAGTGCTGAAAAAAATACAAATAAGTAAATGGTTGAACGCTATGTAAAATTGTGACTAAATGTTGGAACTGTTAGTATAAAGTAATAATATTTTTAAAGTTATTAACTAATACTGGGCTACGGATAAATGAATTAAATTTTTATAGAACTTTATGGATTAATATGAAATACAGATAAATGGTTAACTTTGTGAAGAAATTATATGAAAACACTTGAATTTAACAGAAGTAAAAGCCCACAGTTGAGTAAAACTATAGCTACTTTTGTCGTGACTTACAATTACAGGAGGTAGCTAAAAACATGGCTAACAGATAGAATTATTAGCTAATAGTATGGCTAAACCAATGAAATAGCTAGGTTAATAAAATAGATATAGTTTAAATTGAAATGTTAGCTTACTGTTCAAAATAAATTATTAGCAAACCTAATGAATTTAGGATTGAAATAGTAGCTAGCTAAAGTTATTTTTGCTAAAAGAAAGGTCAAACTGTTAACTAAAAATATAGATTAGCACTTGAAAGATCGCTAAACGATATGTAAACGTTTATCTCTGACAGCACAAGTTATATTGTTAAATAAACATAAACTGTAATAGGAATTAATAGCTGCTAAATGGAGAAGTAGCTAAAAGCAGTCGATGAACTGTTAATAATGTAGTAATTTTACACAGTTAGTTGTTTGTCACATGAACATGAAAGCTGTCTGGGGGTAGAGAAAAGTGTTTTGAGTACATCTGTGGAGTAGATGAAAAAAATGATAAGAAGCACTGGTATAGAGAGCATATTCACTAAATGTTTTTAGAAGCAAAAGACAAAAAGAAATCCTAGAGACTGTGCACCCTATATAGATGCTACTGCAGTTTGAAGTTAAAAATAAACAGAACATTATGCGATTAGCTGTTTAAATAAGCGTCAGTGTTTAATTGTTACTGCTGCCCCTGAGCACTTTCTTTTAGTTGTATATTTAAGGGAAAAAGTAATTGCCTGCTGCTTTTCTGATGGTTCTAACTTTGTGCTCGGCATTCAGCTGTGTAAACAATTCAAATGAAATTGTTGCTCTGTCCCAAGTGGCACAGTCTACATGGTTTATGTTGTAACATTAAGCCTCATTTAATTACTCAAGAAGTAAATCATGCATGCCCCGAGAAATAAAGTGACTGGAAAGATTTCCATAGGCTGGTTAATATCATGGGTGTTATCTGCATGTAATGAAAGAAAATTCTTCTGCTCTTCCCTCTTTGCTCACATCTTCAGAGGTGTCTTTACTTAGGCAGTTAAGGATATTCTCCCTGATAAATGCACTGATTTTATGGAGGATTAACAAATCAAACTAATAAATCGCACCGGTAATCTGATCCGTTTTCTAATACTGACTATTAACACAAACAAGTGTTAATCACCAGCCAATCAGAATGGATTTTGATCAGACGAATGGTGGAAGAAAGACGGAGGAGCGGCTGTCTGCCTGAGGTAAATCCACTAAACCTGAATCTGAGTTGATCATGCCCATTAATTATTAATGTGCAGATAATTAGATGCAGAGCCTACACTCATTTCTGAATAAAATTAACTTGATCGTCTCTGTTTTTTCCAGCGCCCAAATCCACAAACACACTGTGATTTCCCAACTAGCTAACTAGTTTTCCTGGATTCTTGGATGGTAAGTTTCTTTTCTTGGATTTAGGGACAACAAATATCTATTTCTGTGATGGGAAACTCTGTGATGTATTTTTGTTCCTGACCTACAGTTTTGAACTTTGTGCTCTCAAACTATATTAAGACTCAATCTCCTTACATAAATGACAGTGTTATATCTGGAGCCCTGGTTAATAAGTTATCCTTTTTTGAAGCACACCATGACTTGGAGCTTATTCATTGTTGGCTCTGTCTCATATAAAGCTAACAGATGACTTCCTGTTTTTGCAGACACTACTGGGGCTTTGCTGATGGACAGAGAGGCGGACAGCAGAGTTGTTTGTGGCCATTTTAAAGACCAACCACCTGCAGAGGGGCCTCCATTTTGCTTTTAGTGCTTGACCTACAGAAACACCACTAAAATGTTAAAAACATTTTGGAGTTTATGCCACTATCAGTAGCTATTGAGAAGTGATTTACCCAGTGAGAAATTAGTATTTAATTTTTTATATTTTTAATAAGAAGATATATATATATATAAAGAAAAAATATAATTTTAAAAGATGATATATATTTACTGCTGCTTACATCTTTATTTTTAATACATTTAACTATTTTTTTTAATATCCTAACTTGGGGGTGGATCTAAATCTAGTTTACAGGGCAGAAAATGTTGAATAAAATTAATTTGTTTTAAGAAATCTTTTGGCAATAGATCTCTGTTCTGACATGTACACAGACGTAAACTGATGTCTATGCAGTTTAATAAAAAGAGACTTGTATATTGAATGATATGTTTCTTTGTATTGCTTTTTGATGAAATCCATGCAGCAAACCAAATTCAGCCTTCAATTTAATTTTGTCCCCGCACAAGACAGTAAAACATGATCTATAACATCTAAGGCTCAGAAATCAGACCAGCTTACTTGTTAATGGCTCAGATGTAGATATATAACTTTGGCACATTTTTCTCTCAAACTTCACCCTGGAGTGCCTTAGATTTAAACAGCTGTGCTGTCAGCTGCTTGCCGTTGATTTTGGAGGCTGCTGTGCAGCAGCAGCAGCAGCGGGCGTGAGGGGATGTTGAGCAGAGCAGCAGTGACTCTGTTGTTTTTAATGAAGGGGCTGGTCCTGTGGAGGTATTCACAAATGGGACTTACCAAACAATAGGCCCAGTGTGGAGCCTCACATTTTGCCCCTCTGGCTGCCAGAGGTCTCTAAACAAGGTTCTTTTAATAGAAAAGTACTTTTTTAGTAGTGGATGAGGTACTTTAATGGTGTTTCCTGTCCTCCAAATACTAGCAAACATCAGAATTTACTTTTTGGACTCTCCAGCAACACAATTTGTTCTGGTGAAAAAGTCGCAAAGGAAAAAAAATGATAATGAGCCACTTCAGGAGCCAACTGGGATATTCTGGGGGAAAAGACTAAAAGATGATGATATGCACACGCTACAATAATTTCCCTGAAGCCATCTGGAAACGTTTTACACCTTTTTAGATTGGGCTGGAATGTGTGGGGCTCTGCTCATTTTTCATTTCTAAGTGTTTCAGTCTGCCAATGAATCCACTGCCACCTTGCAAAGAAAAAAAAACGCACAAAAGTTCCTGCGTTTTTTAAATTTATTGTTGTTGTAAATCGTGAATTGTCAAGAAGCATCAGCTCCTCTGAGATTTCCCCCAGATGTGCTGAGTCGCTAGAGTGCCTCTTCCTCTCCATGGTGCCATGTTTATCAGAGTGGTGCTGAAAAAAAGCAACACTCAGAAACTTGTCACAAAGTTCACTGATTAGAAAATGGATGAATTCATTACTCTGGTTGGGCTTTGCAGACATTTAGTGGTTGTTTACCATTGTGGAGAAGTTGCTTCACATATCTGCTTTTATTCATCCACCTTTAATGGACGAAATAGGAGACAGAAGTAAATCATGGGAAGTGCAATCTGGGAAATTCCTCTCTGCGCCAATTTAAACACCACAATCATTAGCGAAAAATGTTTCATTTAACAACCTGCTGACATGTGTGTGAAATAAGGATAACAAAACCTAAACTAACGCAACTCTTATCCTAATCTAACATCATCTGGAAAGCTTTTAGGCACTCCCAGTCTATCAGGAGTCTGTTCAATGTATCTTAAAGGCTCCTTCATTAGAGCTAAACAAGCTCAGTGCTTTTACCAAGGTTTCCATCCCTCCATCCATCTTCTAAAAGCTAATCAGAGACGCTTTGACCTCCTTCTCACCTGCCAGCTGAGATCTCTCCAGTGTGTTCCAGGTCTGTCCTAGAATCTCCTTTGGGTTGAACAGCTCACCTGGGAGGCTTCCAGGACAAATCTTAGACAGATGCCCAAACTATCTGGCTGCTTTAAATACAATGCTTGATTTTTCGGCCATGACCCACAGCTTGTGGGCAGAATAGACTGGTTCATTGATAAATTTGTATGCCTTTGTAGTTTCTCTCTCGATCACTTGCGTGGCCGTGGCTGTTGGGGCAGATTGGACAATCGCTGATCTTAACGTCTGCGTTTCACCCCTCAAACTGTCGCTAGGTTCAAAAACCTCCTTGA